ATCAACACTCTTCCAGACTGCTCCAGAGAAAGTCATGAAAAGGCAGATCTGACCATGTCACGCCCCTGATGACAGCTCCCCAACAGGCCGCTGTCCCTGGGGGAGCTCTGTTGTGGGTATACAAATCCATTATTTGCCTGTGCCCATTCCTCACCCTTAGTCTTCTACTGTGGTTAAGTTGCTTGTACTGCCCTAAAAACGTTTGCTTATCTCATACTGACCGTTATGGTTTGGATATGAGGTGCCCCCCAAAAGCTCCTGTGTTAATATAGGGATATTCAGAGGTGAATTTGTTAGATGATGAGAGCTATAACCTCATCTGTCCATCTTAGTTTGAATGGACTAACTGGGTGGTAACTGTAGGCAAGTGGGGCAAGGTGGGTCACTGAGGGTGTGCCCTGGAAGGGCTCATCTGCCCTGTGGCCCCTTCTCTTTCCCCTCTCTGCTTCCTGACCCTGCCATGAGCTGAGCAGCTTTCCCTCACTGCTGCCCTTCTGCCACACTTTCTGTCTCACCTCAGGCCCAAAACAATGGAGTCGGCTGACCTGACCCTCCAAAATCAGGAATCCAACAAAAGCTTTTCCTGTGATCTTGTCAGATATTTGGGTGACAGCCACAAAAAAAAAACCTAACTAATATAATGCCTTTGGGCCTTAGCTTTTGCCATTTCCTCAGCTTAGAGTGCCCACCTAGTCCCTCTTACCTCTGAATCATCTTATTGTCCTTTTTTCTGATCTCAAATATCACCCCAGAAAGCTCAGTGCAACACCCACCCTTTGGGGCAGATACTCCCTGTGTCCACACGTCTAGTTCAGCAAGTCACATGTTAGGTTGAAGTTATCTTATGGCTCCATCTCTTCCCCTGACTCTGAACTCCAGGAAGAGCCTAGACAGAGTCTCACACATCTGGCGATCCGGCAGCCTTGCACATGTTCAACCAGGATCATCCAGGAGAGAGCTTGAGCTGTCTGTATACGGCATTAAGATTTGTGTGTAGTAAAGGTCAAGTCCAAGTTCTCAAGGGACAGAAAAAGGCCAACATTTAGAAGGAACTTTTAGCAAGGCTATATGTGCCAGGTGTGGTGGTGGACACCTGTAATCCCAGCGGTTTGGAAGGCTGAAACAGGAGGATCACGAGTTCAAAGCCAGCCTCCGCAGTAGTGAAGCACTAAGTGACACAGTGAGACACTGTCTCTAAATAAAATACAAAATGGGCTAGGGATATGGCTTGGTGGTCAAGTGCCCCTGAGTTCAATCCCCAGCACTCACCCCAAATAAAGGACTGCATGTTGAGTTCCTGTGCAGATCAGGAAGTGGGCCTGAAACCACTGTGTGTCTCCCCCAGTGCTCCTGAGTTGCCCTGATGACTGGAGGAGATGCTTGGCAGCTGATGTAGCAATGAGAGCTAAGAGCTAGTGTAAGAGAGGTACAGAAAAAGCAGGGAAAGGGGCTTACAAGTTTGGTCGCTCCACCAAAAACTGCTGCTTAGAATTGCTACAGTTGATTGAAGAGTAGTAAATACTAAGCACTATGAATATGTCAATTAAGTATTACTGGGAATATGCCAGGTTTCTTTCTTTTACATTTTTATGCACATGGTCTGTTATGCACTGTGCTTTCAGATGTGCAACAATTTGTACAATGATCTATTCCCAAGTATGCCTTAAGCAGAACAAATGTGATTTTTTTCTCTACAGTTCCTTGCCTTAATAGATATGTAATATAAATTTAAGCATACTTCAGTTTTGCATATTTGCAAACTACAAAGTAAAATGAACATTTTTTTTGTGGAATTTGTATTTTGCATACTCAAAGTGAGAATTAAGTTTTAAATAAACCTATTTTATCAGGGGAAAAAAAAGTATTCCAGGGTACCCGAGCTGGAGAAGATCACAGCTAATTACCCCGTGTTCCCTTGGCCAGGCTTGAGTAGTCATTCTGGCAACCCCAGGAGAGAAGCAAGGTGGGACAAGGAAGGTGATACTCAAGGTTGCACAGCTGGCATGTGACAGAGCCTGGCTTTGACCCCAGCAGCCTAAACCCATGGTCAGAATTCGGAACTACCGGCTCCCGTTATGCCTCGAGGGGGCCTCCAATAAGACAGCACCCCTGTCTTCCTGAAATTTAGCTTCTAGTGGAATTTTCCACCAGGTTGCCATTCTTGCAGAAACCAGACGGTTGTGGTCAAAAAAAATTCATTTTAAAACTTATATCCTGGAAGGATGGTTCATCAGAAGGCAAAAAAGAAACCACATGTACCCCAGACTGAGCTCCCCCAAATAGAACACAAAACATATTTAGCTCTTTTCCAGATCTCCTTTTACTTTCTGATATTTAACTTTTAAGAAAATCTTGAATTCAGTGGTTGCAAAACTTGGCAGACAGAAACAGGATGGAGTGGGTTGGGAGTGAATCTCTATGTGGGAAGGGAAAATGCAGTGAGAAAAAGTAATTAATAGTTGGGATATGTTCAAATTCATGTTATGTAAGGAGGGCTCTATTTTAGTTGATGAGTCATCTCTTTTTTTAAGGGGGATGTTAAAAAGCTATGGCTGTCCTAATGCTGAATTTGAGAGAAGCAGCAGTAATATCAGTATAATATCAGTAAAATATTAAAATAGAATATGCTCACAATGCTAAACTGATGATACAGGCTTATGTAAAAGGCTTGTAAGAATTCAGAAAATTCAGTCTGTTTTTAAACTTCATTCAAGTGTTTTTGTGAACAGTGTATCAATAAGACTGCCATGCTGTTGGTGGCAGTAATTCAGTGTTTCAGCTGGAGCAATGGCATAATGGAGCACTTCAGAGTGTAGCAAGTGTTTTTCCAGTTTTGAGTTCTCACAAAGACTTTTTTGCACACCTCTTTTCTTTCATCACACAAAATTGGGGCAAGTAAGAGGAACCAAGACATCTTGGAGAAGTGACTGATTCCAGGACAGGGAAAGAACAACAGGAACTCAGTGGGAAGTGCACCAAGGACGATGGGGCATGTCAGGAAGTCACAGGCCTGCAGAAGGGGTTCCCAGGGAGCAAGGAGAACAGTTTCAGCATCAAAGTAAATAGCGCTAGTAATGGATTATAACCTATTGAATACATTAAGAATTCATGCTAATATAAATAAATGAATAAATAAATGCAAGAGGAGGAAAAGCACCTCCTCAGATTAGAAAACCAACTAATAAATGCAGAAGGGATGGTAGACTTAGAAAAGTCACCACTTTCTAATCAGCAGCCCAATAACTAGGGTAGGCAGGAGAAATTAATGAGTTTCACAATAAGGATATCAGAGTCTGAGGAATAACATGGTATTTATACAGTCTCAGAGTACATCCCCACAAGACACTTGTTCACTACAAAGATAGTGAAAGATAGAAAGAAGAAAAAGAAACCTGGCAGGTGCTACCTTAAACAAATGATGAAGGTTACCGCCCATAGCAGTGGCTGATGGCAGCATGTGTCCCCAGGAACTCCACATCCCTACCACCTATGCCTTAGCCAAACCTAATCCTAAATAAGCATCAGGAAAAAACAAATTAGGGAGTGAGATAATTGGGGGCTGAGAAGCATTCATGAATGTAACACTCAATCTTGGATTTTCCTTTTCGATAAAGCATATCGCTGGGACAATAGGCAGCATCTCAATAAGGCTTTAGCTTAGACAGTAGTATTATTTCAGCAATAATTTTCTGATTGTGATCATTAAATATTATTGAAGATAGCTCTTTGCACACTGTGGTGTTTAGGGAGAGGCAAGGGAAGATGGTTTTGCCAGAGGGTGCTATTGTCATTCAGCCCAAACCACATCTCTGCCCTGTCACTGGTTTCCAATGGCAGGTTGCTCCCTGCCCTTTCCCATCAACCTCCCACACTCCCAGGGGGAACAGGTCAACCTCCCTGCCTCTCATCACTCCTTGCTCTGTCTGTAAGGAACTGTGCCCCTCCTAGGCTGTCCACCAGTAGATTACCCTTCCCTCCCCACTTGTCTGCAGAAAGGCCTACCAAGAGGGTTAAGAGGAGAAGGTGGGGATAGAAGACTGACTTCTCACTGACCCAAAAGGAAGGGGTACCCTCGACTGCTGTCCATGGCAGGAGAACCCATGCTCCCTGCAGATCTCAGTTTCCTCACCTGTGTGATGAAGGGCCTGGGCTTGCTGGCCCCTGTGATTCTTCTGCCCCTGTGAACTTGTCTCTCTCTTAGACTCATCAGTCATAGCCTCTCTCTAAGCCCTAGAAAGCTCTCCCTGGGTGTCAGGATGTGGTCCAAGGCCGTGGGAAGCTGACGTTGGGAGCTTCGTCCCTGGTGTAGGTGGTATCATAGGGAGAGGATGTGTTCAGACTTTTACGCTATCACATTGTTCTCTCTGAGGACTCTAAGATTTGCAGTAAACTCACAGGTGTGCCTTCTGCTGACAGCTTGCTTGGTGGTCCTTTCCTTCATTCTTGCTGCAGCACCTACCATGTGCCAAGCCTGTGCTAGATACGAAGATCAGTTAGACATGGTGCCTCTGTCAGGCAGCAAGGTGCATAGGATGGCCCTAATGGGACAATTTTTATATGGTCAGCTTTCCTTGTGAGTATAAAGTGATAATTAAATGACCAGAAGTCCCCATCTGGCTACCAGTGAGTCCTATGAACTTGTATGATTCAAAGAGTCTCTGTGAGCCTCCACCTCCTTGCCTGTTAAATAGGGATAGCAGTCTCCACTGCCTGCCTGCCCACCTCTCCCTTAAGTGGGAGGATTCTATAGAGTGCTCTACAAATATGGCGTCTTGTTAATCCCTCAATATGCACCTATTTGAAGTACTTTGGAAAACCTTAAACACAAAGAGAGCATGACTGTATTATCTGTACCCACTACTGACCTTAGAAGGGAGTATTGCAAAGGCATAATGTAATGTGTAGAATAGGACAATCAAGCTGTGACACAGATGATGCACAGCATCCTCACCCTCGCAAAGCCAGTGTCATCGCTGAGTTAGCTCGGGGCTTAAGATTGATTTGGCATTGTCATTCCAGTGCACCAGGTGGCAGAGCGGGTGGAGGCCCTGGGCCAGTTTGTCATGAAGACCAGAAGGACCCTCAAAGGCCATGGGAACAAAGTTCTCTGCATGGACTGGTGCAAAGATAAGAGGAGGATCGTGAGCTCCTCACAGGTACGTTGCACCTGGTGAGTGACCTGAGCAACCTTCTGCTTTTGTAGCTAAGAGAAAGCAGAGCTGTCCTTTTCAAAAGCCATCTTCTGTTCTTTATGGGGGGCTTATTCTCCAAAGGACATGATTTAGCAGAAAGAATTCTCTTGCACACTATAGAACTTCACTAGTTTGGGTAGATTTGAAATTGGTAATAGTTGGAACATTGTAGATTGTATTTGACTTCTTTCATGAGCCATTTAACATTATTTCTATCTGAACATGTTACAAATTGTTCAAATGCAATTTTTAAAGTCTTTTTCACCCCCGAATCAAGGACATAAGTGATTGAGATTCCACCAATACTTTCTTTAATTTTAAGAGTTTGTCAATTCTTATATCTTAATAAATTAAAGATATGTGTTTGGAAATTATTGTTTTTATCATTTTTATTTTTTGTAGTTTACATATTTTATTTTACAACTTATCAATTTATAATATATTTCTTCATAACTAATTACCTCAAGATTTAGCAGCTGTTTTAACAGCAGATATTTATTATTACAGTTTCTAAGAATCAAGCACCCAGGTGTTGATTCTGGTTAGGGCCTCTCACAAGGTTGCTGTGAAGACATTGATGAGGCTGCAGTTAGCTGACCCCTTAACTGAGGTGCAGACTCACTTCCAAGATGCATTGCTCACATGGCTGGCTGTTGGCCAGAGGCCTCCATTCCTTCCCATGTGAACCTATCTGTAGTTCTACTCAAAACATAGATAGTCTGTTCCAGAACAAGTGACCCAGGAGAGGGAAACAGGGGCAGAGCCATGCTCTCTTTTATGACCTAGCCTTAGGATGACATTCCATCCCTATAATGTATTCTGTGGTTCACACAGAACAGGCCTGATATGACAAGGGGATTCTGTTAGGGAGTGTGAACATGATCACCTGGGATGATGGAAAGGAGCTTAGAGGCTGGCTCCCACAGTTTAGTAACCTTTACATCTTTTTTTTTTTTTTAATCCGTTTTTATGTTGTATGTATTACACATTAAACTGTAAACTGAAGTTCAATAAGATATTCCATAAATCAGATTTTTATGGTCAGTGTAGGTTTTCTGTCACCCCTGGATTTTGCTCAGCTTTTTTAAAAGAAGATTTATTTTTTCTTAACAACTTCTAACTATAAAAATTACATATCCTAGATTATCCACAAGCTATAACATTTATGTCAGCCTAAAATTGGATAGGACAGTTATTACCATATGTTATCTACAAACCTAACATGTCATATTTACCTGCTTTGTATTTTTGTCCATAATAAATTTATCACTTAGGCATATTAAAGAAACCCTGAAAAATAGAACAAAAAGGCTTTCTTCCCACTGCCTTGTCCCAACTGTTATTATTATTTTGCATCATTTCTTTCTAACCTTTCTTTTTTCTCAAATGTTTATTTTCACAAAGTGATTATCCAGATGTACATGGTGCTACCTAGCTAGCTCTTTGGATTTTTAAATCCTTACAAGCATATGGAATACCAGCTTTTCTATCACTCATGCACCACCTATTGCAGGTGGGAAGGCCAGGGTCACAATAGCACAGGCCCACACATCCTCCTCTGCTGCAGAGAGGTAGGAGGAGGTGCGTGTGGGTGTGGGGAGGAAACTGGAAAATACAGGAAAGCTCTGCAACAGACTGACTCATTAGCAACCTTCTCCCTTAAAAGGCAGGAGATTAGTCACCCTGATGGGGTAGGATTAGGGTTTGTGGTGGAAGGCACAATCTCTCCAGGCATGTAGGCCCCTGGTATATAAATCTATGCTCATGGAGGGGACCACATTTAGTTTAATGAAATTCCAGAGTATACAGGGAGACCAGTGGGCTGGGAGGAGGAGGAAGCCATGGACATGGGAAGTGAGGTGACATCAGTACTCTCCCCCACAACCGTCTGTGGAGGCTCTAGGCATGGAGGACTGAAGCACCAAAGGCTTAGCTGAGCTACCCACACTTTGTGTTTGGCCATTTAGTCAGAATTCAGACCAGAAGAATCACTGCACTTAGGGATCCTGAAAGGCCCCAAATGACCAACTTTGACTTAGCTTCAAGGTTCCTCAGCCACACACCTTAATCCAGAAATTTTCTATCAGATCATGTGAAGCAAGAAGCTGCATCCCTTTAGAAATCAGACCTTGCTTCTGCCTGTAGGTGGCGTTTTCTTCTGATTTCCCTCAAGCTCATTCAGCAGATTTGGCTCCAAATGCTTGAGTGATTCAAAAATTGAGCCTGCCACAGAGAGTGCAGATTTACCATCCCTGAGGATGTGCAGGGACACCATGCACTGAAGGAGGCCAACTTGTCCACCCTCTTCCACTATCCGCCATGATCTGGGCAGGTAGATGCTTGTAGGGAGCAGGACTCATAGATTCACCTCCAGTGGGTTTATACTACAAATAGACGGCAAGGTGGTCATGCCCTACACCCCCAGCATGAGTACCAGCAGTCACAAGGAAAGTAACCATATTGTTTGTGAAATCAATAGCCCACAGCTCCCCTGACAGGGGGTGCTCTTTGTTCACTGAACAACTGCCCAAAGGGCTCCCCGTTGTTATAGGAGCATATTGCACATTGTTCTGGGTGTGAAATCTCAAGAGTGGGGAGCTCTGCTGTCCTTGGGCACCTGGAGAAGTGGACTGCAGGGAACATGGACTTCAAGGAAATGGGAGAGGGGATGAGGTATTGGAGATAATGTAGAGATTTATTGTTTACCTGTCAGGCACCTAAAGGTAATTTAAAATTTTTACTCCCCTGTCTAACTTTTGGACATTTAGAATAGGGGGGATGATAGCAGTGTACCAACAGCTTGTGCAGGTTGATCAGCAGTATAGAAGAAGCATCTGAGCCTTGCTTTGTGTACTCATGTTGATTCAGAGAATGTAGGGTTTCAAACTGGGCCTTTCGCCAGCCTGGGAAGTTCAGCCCCTCCCCACCTCCATTTTTTTCATGAGTAGGTTGGCGGGTCTCGATTACCAGGTACTTGCACCAGCTTTCCACTTCACTGTCCTGCTAGACGCAGCTTGACACTGACTTCTCAGCAATTACCTGAGAGAACTTGTTGCCAGCCCCTGAACTGTTTTCTCTTCTCCCTCCAGGATGGGAAGGTGATCGTGTGGGACTCCTTCACCACCAACAAGGTGAGGCCTCCTTCCCAGGCACATCAGGGAATCTCAGTATCCTGCCTGGTTTGAAGGTGCTCTATCCTGATCCTCCACCAGGGCCCCACTGCGAGTGACCACTCAGCCTCTAGACGGGAAAGCCCAGGGAGAGCCCAGCCACATTTGAGCAGCTCAGCCAGCCCAGAGCAGCATTTGTTCCTCTCTCAAGAACTCCCTCACCCTGAGAAGAACATGTAGTTACTATAGAGGGAACTAATGCTAAAGTGGGAAAGGGCATAGCACAGAAAGCTGTTACATTCACATGTCCCACTGCATTTTACTATTTCTCTTCCAAGTAATGATGGGAAGTACCAAAATCCTCCGTCATTTCTTCCCCTTGTACCTTGGGCCAGACTCCACATCAGTGGAAATGAACAGGTGGAAAGCTGAGGCTGCTGTGGGACTGAACTGAACCATCATGTGATACTGTGGAGTCTGGTCTGGGCACACATGCCTAAAATTAGATCTAGATTTAGACTTAACATAACATATAGGCTGAGCTCTAAGCTAGGCATTTGCATACCTGTATCATACAGCGTTTGCAATAGGAGAACTGTGTATTAAATATGGGTTCCAATATTTATTTGGAAAGGAGATCTTCCTCTTAGCCATATAAGAAAAGGAGACACATACCTCCTGATACAGCGGCAGCTGAATAGCATCCATGTTCCCCATCATTGATTGTGTTAGTAAATGTCATGGTAAGTAGCTGTTACATGATCTAGTCCAGTGAGGGACCAGAACCATTTTGTAGAGGATGTGCAGGGACACCATGCACTGAAGGAGGCCAACCTGTCCACCCTCTTCCACTGTAGAACAGAGTCCTTAATGGTCAGGCTCCTGGAGAATAATAAAAAGAGCAATCTAAATAGGCCTTTCTTACACATCACCTCCTTGCAAGCCACAGCCTCTCCTGGCATCCCTCAGTATCTTCTGCACTATGGGGTGCAATCATTTCTATTTGCACCTTAGGCATAGGGCACGGGCTGATTTCTGGGAGCTTCAGGGATGCTGTGTGGCTGCTTAGAGAACATAGCCATTACTGGTAAGCAAAAGGGCCCTGGCCCTGTGCTGAGAGCAGCCACTTCAGCTCTGCTCATTGGAGGGTGTGGGTTATTCTTAGCATCTGAAAGGCTGAAAGATTGTGAGTGACAACAGGATTTTGGCAGGCAGTATTGGAGCCTGTGTTTCCCCACGGAAACATGGAGATTCACAACAGAAAAGAACACCTGGCCTCTAATGTCCATTGGGAATCATCTAGTCCCATCTCTCGCTTCATTGGTGGACAATGCGGGACAAGCAGGAAAAATGTCCATTCCACATGGGGTTGCATATGTTGTTACTGTCAAAACCAGGACCAATATCCTGTGCTCCTTGGAATTAAGATCATGACGCAAGTGTCCAAGAGATATGATTTTTATTGTTTGCTTATCTGCATGCAGGAGGACATAGTGACTGGGCCACCAGGCAGAAGCCAGGGATGTTCTGCTTAGTTATTTTTTTAAAAATATATATTTATTTTAGTTATAAATGGACTTTTATTTTATTTATATACTGTACTGAGATTTGAATCCAGGGTCTCACACATGCTAGGCAAGTGCTTTACCACTGAACCACAAACCCAGCCCCGTCTGCTTAGTTCTTAATACTTCCATTTACAGGTTCTCTGTGATCCATGCACACAACCCAAGGTCACCCTCCTCCTCCTGTCACCCCCATGCATGTACCCCTTCTCCAGAAATGGTTTCAGGACCTATAGTGAGCAGAGACTTATGCTTACTCACCAGTAAGCAAACTTCTACATGGAAAATGGAAATCAGAATCAATAAGGTAAAATACTTACCTGAAAGGAGATGCAGATACATATTCAGATTCAAAGAAAAGGAACCCCAGTAGTCAAGCAGAAGAACAAAGGGAATGTAACATTAAGAAGTAAAATATTGGTCTGGGGATATAGCTCAGTTGGTAGAATGCTTGCTTCACATGCACAACATCCTAGGTTCAATTGCCAGCACCACCAAAATAATGAATAAAAATAAAAATAAAATATTACCAGGCATGCAGATATATACCTGTAATCCCATCTATTTAGAGATTTGAGTCAGAAGGATCACAAGTTCCAAGCCAGTCTCCACCACTTAAAAAGGCCCTAAGACCCTGTCTCAAAATAAAAAACAAAGTTCTAAGTTCTGGGAATGTTGTTAAGTAGTTAAGCAATCCCTGCGTTCAATTCCTGGTACCAAAAAAAAAAAGTGTAAAATATTAAAATATTAATCAATACTTAGAAGTAAACCTATTAATATTTTTTGCTAGTTGAGATTTTTTTACTTTTAGAATATAGGACATAGTTTGGTTGATGATGGGAGGCTGAGACCCTTCATCAGTCCCAAGCCCACCTTTGTCCTACAGCTCTCCCCTTTGAGACTATGAGGTGACTCAGGGGGAACTCTTTTGTAAAAGTTAAATGTTAAGACCTGTGTAGAAGTGCCTGTTGCTCACTCTGGAACGGTACATGCTGTGTTTCAGGAGCACGCGGTCACTATGCCCTGCACGTGGGTGATGGCATGTGCTTACGCCCCATCGGGATGTGCCATAGCTTGCGGGTAAGCTTTTCAGATTTCCAGTTAGTCACAAAATACTGTTCTATTGGCAAAAACAAGCAAACAAATGAGAATTTATAAATTTTATTACTACTTGTTAACGATGGGTTAAATCTTTCCCTGAACTTTATCAAAGAAGAACCCACAAAACTCTCTTTCATTATGATTCTCACTGCACATTGACAAAAGTAAGTCCACACCTGTCCCCTGTCCTCTCAACTGCTGTTGGTGGGACTGTGAATTGGTGCAAACATTTTGGAAAGCAGGTTGGTGGTATATTTCAAATGCCTTGAAAAATTTGTAAGCTTTGCTCTAGTGACTACATTTAGTAATTCATCTGAAAAGAATGACCCCAAATGTACAAAAGCCATGCAAAAAATGACATTTATTTTTCATTTTTAAAATAGATAAAAAAGAAAGGAAACAATATATTCATCAAAAATGAGTGAATTATGGTATATGAATTGATTGAAATATTATACAGCAATAAAAATAGAAGTTCTCAATTACAGTGTGTGAAAAGAATATCAAGGTTACTAGGAAAATTGTGCCTTATTCTCTCTCTCTCCTAAAGCTCAGTTTTACATGGCTAGAATTGAAACATTCATAATTTCCTGTCCTGTGTTAAACAATTCTGGGACCATTCAAAATACTTCTCTAGTGTCTCAGCCATGTTTGAAAAAAGAGACAAAGTAGAGACTGGGATGAACTGTAGCCATTGTGATAGTAGTTCATTCTGGATGATGAGACTATGGGAAATTTTTCTCTTCTTGATAATATTTTCTACTTTTAGGGTTTTTTTTTTAATAAGCATATGTTATTTTTATAATCAGAAAAAAAAAAGGCATTTTAAAAAGGAAAACTCAGGGCCCCTAGAAAAACTTTTGTCACCCAGCCAGAGTCATACCAACCATCTTCACCGGTGTCCGCTCCCTTTGTGCAGCTGTCCTGGGGACATCTTCTCACTCTTTCCTTCCAAGTGCCAAGACCACATGTGTCCCTAGAGCTCATACACAAGTATTTCATATTTTCTAACTTTTTAATTAACAAAAGTATGTCATGTTAATTATAGCTGGGTGCCCATTTATGTAAAATTCATCCCATTTTCTTTCTAAAAGAATATGATGTGGCTACAAAAATAGACATATATATGTGCCAAATACGTGCCACATTTAGAGGGAGAGAGAAGCAGCCACAATTATAAGGTTGGTGCAGAGGAGTTCTGTTGGCTGTACAGTTAGGAGGCACAGTCCCCACAAGGCTGTCCTCACTGCAGGTGCCAACCACAAATTCAGAGGTCCCCACAACCACCCTCAGGCTGGAAGGCACTGTACTTCCTGTCTTAGCTTTATCACAGCAGGGTAGAAACCAGACCATCCAAAGGGACAGGGCGTAGGGTAGAGTCTGGGAATGGTGAGCTTCCAATCATCCTCTCCCCAGGAGGTGGTGCCGTTTTCTCCTCTTGGCCACAGTGTGGTAGTATCCACAGAAGATCCCCAGCTGGTGCAGTTCACTTAGGCCTTCTGTGTCCCAAGTTATTGGAGCTTGATGACATATTGCCTGCATGAGTCTCCAGCTCATACCTTCAGTCTGCAGTTCCTCTTGGAGTTGGAACTGACATATCCCAAAGCTCTCATCATAAATCACCTATGAGATTGCTTAATAGCCAAAGCCCCTCAGGCAAACAAAGACATTTACCGGGCAGGACATTCCAGGGACCCAGACATCACCTCCCAGGAAAAAATTCTCTTAGGTCAGGTCAGTTCTTCACCACTTAGTAGGTATAATAAATATAGTTTAAAAATCCTAGAGTAATGTTTGTAGCTGGGTGTGTATTTTGGCAAATGCCTAAAGTTGTATGGGCCACATAATTCTTTAGTATTTGATATTGAAATATTAGGTAGCAAGTCTAAATTTTAGAAAGAATATACTGGGTAAATAATATATTGGGTAGATTCTTTTGTAACTTACAATGCAGATAATAATAGAATGAACAGTGTCTTCAATAATAGTTTTAAAAGTGAAGCTGTAGGCTATTATTATGACCCTCACTAAGTGGAACCCAGTGAAAGGATTTTGATGAGGGCAAGGGGACAGGAGGGAAGGATTGTGAAAGGCCCTGGTACTTAGCTTCCTGGTGCCTTACACTGGTGCAGAAACAGTTCAGAGAGGGCTCACAGGTGCCCTAATCTGAGTCATCTGATTCTCTGGCCCTGGCCAATGGGGATGGTCAGTACCTATACCGGCTGCCTCGCCGATCTCTCAGAGAAGGGAAACAGAAGAAAGTGTGCATATTTGTGTGTTGTTTTTTTTTTTTTTTAATTGGAGATGGATGGGAGAACAATAGACTAAACTGGGAAATACTGAATCCTCAGTGTAGGCAAAAGTACTGTCTCCCCCTCCCCCAGACCTTGCCTAGAACTACCATGAGCAACTGTGGTAAAGTTTCTGGTGGTAAATCTAACATAATATTCCCTGACCATGTCATCCTCACAAGTCCACCCCATGCCATGTTCTATAAAACAACCAAGATCACAAAATTAGTTGGGTATTAAAGCAGAGATTCAATACCAAGTACATCACTCTGCAAAACTCTGCTTCTCTTAGCGATGCAAATAACCTTAAGTATTAAGTGTTCCAACAAAGCTACAGAGAAATTATTGTGAGACTCCAGGCTGGGGAAGACACGTCCCCAACTGAAGGTTCAGGTAAGAACATTGCCCCATGGCGCACTTGCTCATCACCACAGCCTACTGCAAATCATTCTCAACCACACCATCTGTGAACAAGCTTGCCAGAGCAGATTGCTAATAATAAACCACCAAAGCATACACCTCCATCTCTAAAAAGGTAGAGGGTTCCCTGAGCTTCCCCAGAGCCTCAGAAAGAGTGACCCCATGCTTATTCCCTACCGAAGGGAAACAGGGATCCTTGGTTAAAAGCTGATGTTAGGTCTGGGGCAGAAAAATAATAAACCTGGGATATTTTCCTGTTCCAGAAAGTAGGAAAAATCTGGGAATGTAACTCAGTAGTAGAGCATGTGTTTTAACATCCCATAGTTTCAATCCCTAGCACAGGAAAGAAGAGTAGGAGAGAAGGAAGAGGAAGGGAGGAAACATTCAAGGACCAATTGAGGCTCATTTAAAAAAAAAAAAAAATAAGCTGACTTGACTCCAAATTTGGGACGACTTGAAATAATTATTTAAATGAAATAACAATAGTAATGAATCACAACACAAGGAGAAAAGAAGTCTGTAGGTGCTCAGTGACACTGGGGAGGCAATTCTTCCTTCCAGAAACAAACCAGCTGATAAATGCAAAAGGCATTATCAAATCAGAAGGTCACCATTTTGCATCCCTACAGTAATATTTGATTCAAGCAAGGCTGATCACACTGAGCCATTGTATGAAAGGCTTTGGGGGAAGAGGATATTTTCATGGTCTCAAAATATCACACCACAGATTATTACTTGTGATCAACTAACGACCTTTACCTTGCAGAGAAAGGTGGAGGCCCACCTTCACCAAGTAGTCAAAGTAAGCATCACCAATCTTAGAACAACAGGTATCACAAGATTTTTGAAGTGAGGCAACAAGAGAGAAGTACCCAACATCACCTTTACATTATTATTGCCAAAAAATATTATACAGGTTGAATTTCCCTAATCTGGAAATGAAGTCCACTGTACCCCAAAATCTGAAACATGATACTACAAGTAGAAAATTCTACCTCTGTTGGCTGGTATGTTTCTGGAAGGAGGAATCTCCTCTCCCAGTGTTACTGTACACCTGTAGACTTTTTTCACCTTGTGTTGTGATCTGTTACTATTGTTATTTCAGGTCACAGTCTACACATAGGTTCACTATTGTTATTTCAGGTCACAGTCTACACATAGGTACCTTCAGGCTATGTGTGTAAGGTATATATAAAACAGAGACCTTGATGTTTAGACCTGGGTCCCCTCCCCAGAATTTTTGAAATATGCAGATTTTTCAAAAGTTAAATTTTGAAACACTTCTGGTCCTAAGCATTTTGGCTAAGGGACTCTCAACCTGTGCTTGAGTAACCAATGTGACAAATCCAGAATGTGTGACCTCCTATAAAATAGTTGACCTAAGATCTCCTGTCATGAGAAAAATATAAAGGTAGTATGTTCTAGATTAAAAGATCTTAAACAATTGTAACAACTGAATGTAAGATATGAACCTTCATTGGATTCTGGATCCTGAGGACAACTGAGGAAAATTGAATATGGATGACTTATTACATAATGTTATGAAATTTTTGTTAATTTTTTCAGATATGATAAAGATGTAGTAGATATATAGGAGAACATTATAATTTTTAGGAGATGTGAATTTGCAAATTGAAGTATTTAGAAATAAAATGTCATGTCTGCAGTTTGCATTCACAGGGTTCAGAATTTGCTCCCACAAACGTGACAAAATATTACTTAATGAATGTAGGTGAAGGAATCTGATATAAGGTTTTTTGTTTTGTTTCAGTTTTACTGCAGGTTTGAAATCTTCAAAGTAAAAGTTGGGGGGGAAGGTTACAGTGTAAGTTTCCTGCTAAGGAAAAGGTTGTGCAAGTGTATACAAATAAGTCAGTACACATGTCCTGTTCATCTGCGTTCACCCTGATGCTTGTTTCCCTCTTGCTAGTGGTTTGGATAATAAGTGCTCTGTGTACCCATTGACATTTGACAAAAATGAGAACATGGCTGCCAAAAAGAAGTCTGTAGCTATGCATACCAACTACCTGTCGGCCTGCAGCTTCACCAACTCTGACATGCAGGTAAGTGGGCAGGGAATCTTCTGGGGCAGTGGGACTTGCTGTCTCCTGGTCTGAATGGAGTTTTTAGGGCACTTACTTGTGAAAAACTTAGCTGAGCTTTGAGGTGGTGCTTCTCACACTTCTCATATCCATACTTTACATTCCTGTTTTAACAACTGCAAAATCAAAATGCTTCTGATATTAAATTTGTGTCCTACGTTCAATAAACCACAGCAAAAGCAATACAACCCTAACACTTCACTATTTTCCTTAGCAAGTTGTAAAAAGCCTCCCATAGTTTGTTTATTAACACTTACCCAGCAATCCTGCCTATGTGCCTACCCCCTGTTGACAGATACCACCTGACTCTGGGGCAGAAAGCTCAGTCTCACCCTTAGGGACCTGCAAAAGAATCAATAATGATTGGACAGTGGGGGAAGCTGGGGAGCTCAGAGCCAGAGGGCATCACATACGTGCCCTGCCTGTGAGAAGGGATGGCTGCCACCTCAGGCTGCCACAGTGTGTGAGGGAACCCATGGGAAGAAAGCAGCCCTAGAGGTTGGCAGTGGCAGAGCCCAGGGAGGGCCCTATAGAAGGAACCATTGTAGGTGTGAGTCAGATTTGGGTTGTTGCTCTGGCTTTAGCTGGTTGATGCCAGGAGAGAGGCGAGGCTGGAGGTAGGGAGTCCAGGTATCTGTAACTATTCAGTCACTGGTGGAAGGAATGTCCACACTTGGGGTGCCACCAATGGGCAATGCGAGCACCTGTTGTTTGAGTCTCACAGACCTGCGCAGTAGGGGGCATTGCAACCAGCAATCGCCATAGCTAAATGTCCTTGAGCCTGACGGTCAGCCAAAGCAACACAGGACATTTAGTCTGGATAAAGAGAGGCTCTGAGGGATTCAAGATCAATGGGTTGAAGCCGTCTGAGGTCCCTCTGGTGAATACCCATCCTCTCACTCTGTTGCCACAGATGCTGGCAGTAGGAGCTAAGGGGACACCTGTGTCATCCTGCAGCTAGTGGAGATGGAGGGAAGTCCCTGCTGCCTTCCTCTAGGGGGCAAGCCCAGGGGGCAATGCAGGGGCTAGGTTTGGCTCCCTGGTGTTCTAGATAGTGATGCTAGGTAAGGCTTTTACTTCTGTGTCATTTGTTTTTCTCACTACAGGTAAAGATGATAGTAAATTCTTCCCACCTAAGATTTTCTGAAGATTTAAGTGAGATAATTTATATAAAATAACATGGTTCCTGGTAAATATCAATAAGTATTACCCAATATTGTTTCAGTAATATTACACAAAGCATTATGGGTGATTCAGATGCACTTCATGGTTTGGCACCACTGAACTTAAGGTTTCTTCCATCTCTAGGATCTAGGATGATAAACAAAAACTGAAGTGGCTGCTATGACTCTGCATTCCAAAACAAACGAGTGACAGTGAGCTTAGGATTCAGTATAGTGCATTTGTCTGAATAAATATTTGGAATTTTTTAAAGTTTATTTTTATTTACATTATATTGAAAATCGCAAAAAATTAAAACAAAAAAATCCATATTAAGAATTTACTTTGGATGTTTAAAAACTATTTCTTTGGTGAAAGAGTATGGTATAAAAATCTCTCAAAGAGCTAGACTGGGCTAATCATTTAAAGCAGATTATTTGGAACTAGTGTCCCATAAAAAGTCATGTTATTGACCCTTTGCAAGTGTTAGGACAGGAAAGGGCTGGAACATCCACTAGTGGGTGTGGCCAGGAGAGACTGAAGAGCACATTCCAAAACACTGGTACCCAAATTAAGATTTATTTCAAATTTTGGAGATGTAGCTCAGTGGTAGAGCACTTGCTTAGTATGCATGGGGCCCTGGTTTCAATCCCTGGTACTAAAGGTGGAAATTTTAAAAAGAAAAAAATATTTTGTTCAGTCTAAGGGTTCACAAGCTACGTTTACCAACCTAAGTCATCTTGTTGAATGTGCACAAGCCTCCCAAGGGACACCAGGGCCAGAGGCAGCCCTGAGCACAGGTGCAGGGGCTTTGCAGCCTTGGAGATCCCCTGAATTTGAGTGCTGTCCCTGAGTGGGGCCTCAGCGGCTTTGCCCAGGAGGTAAGTGAGGTGGGGGACACGTGCCTAGCTCTTGCTCCAGGGAGGAACCTCAGAGTATCCTCTCCTGGCTTCAGGGAGATCCTGGCCTCCCCAGACTGTCCATCAGGAAACCTAGGCCAATACAGTGCAGGCCAGGGTGGGAACAGATTCCCCTCCTTGTAATCTGTCCTATCCCTACAGGAAAAAAAAAACAAAACAAAACACTTAAATGATAGATCTAACATATAAGAAGGGACAAGAGAAAGGGGAAGGAGAGGAGAGGAGGGAGAACTCACCAGTCCTGGAAATTGGCAGAGGGATGGGAACAGTGAGTGCATCAGATCTGACAGCCCTGGAGGCACAGTCCCTGTGTCCTTCCCTCAATCCTCAGTAGCCATCCACACCTCACCTAGACCCTGTGGGGCAGCCAGAGGTGAGGAGTAGGAGGCTCTGTTCTCAGGACTTAACCGTGGTGGATCTTCTCTTCTGCTGCGTACAAAGAGGGCTCCAGGGCTCTGTGATGCAACCAGCAGGACCTAAGTGGGCCATGAGCCCTGAGTCCCTACCAGCTCTCTCCCAACCCCAGGAGGCTGTGCTCAGCCACAGCCCAAGCTTCCCATGCACTGGCAGTGGTGACAACCAGAACTCCACCTCCACCCAAGCCTTTCCCTGGCACCAGGGCTCCTCTGCACTCCAGGCCATCCTCTGTGCTTGGCTGCTGCACAGAGGCCGCTTGGGTGGCTGCACTGGCCTCCATCAGACTTCCTGGAAGGTGCCTTTCTCTTGCTGTTCTGCTAGGAGCTTCCACAGCTACTTGCCTGCAGTCTGAGGTCCTCAGTCTGGTGCAGCTCACCTTCGTTCAGAGCGGAACCTAGGCCTCCTGGGTCACCTTTCCCTCCCATTCTCTTGGTGTGGCCAGCTCTCACTCCTACAAGGCCACCTCAGACATTGTCCCTGGGTCAGGGCTCTTCAGGTACTGCCTGCATCTCAGTACTTCTCACATGGACTCCAGTGATCATTGCATTGTCTGGTGATGATGTCAGCCCCCAGGCAACCATCATTGAAACATGTTGTCAAGCAGAGCTGAGTTTATTAGACCCCTGCAGTTAGGGAGCACTTCAGCTCCATCACATCTGTTGTATGTCAAATGGGGTCATCAGGGGAGGGTTCTCCCCATGTTTCAGGGTCCAGGCTGAGTGATTATAAGATGAGCCTTGCAAGACAGATGGGAAACTAATTTATGACATTATAGCTATGGACTGGTGAGCACAGTGAAGGTCTTGGAGTCTTGATGAGCACATGGTTAGTCTTAATAAGGAAGTCTGTTTGGTTCACAGTCTTTTCTTCCAGGGGCAGGTATTCCTAGAGCAAGCATCCAGGTCCTTTTACATGGTCTCAGTTTTGTCTAGCATAGTAACAAAAGAATGTCTGGTCCTGGAGTTAACACAGAAAAGGGAATTATGTTGGTTCCATTCTCACTGCCAGTCTTGTTAAATCAAGTTCTGGGAAAACAGACACCATCACAAGATCTTTCTGCAAGCCCTAATGCCCCAGCACAGGGCCTAGACATCATCAGCACGTAGCAAATATGTACTGAATCTGTGTTCATGAGTGTCTTCCAGCATGTGTCAACGATCCTGGGGAGCTTCTAGAGCCACATCCTGCTCTGGCAGAAGCAGCAGCAGGAGAATGCACCTAACAAATAGCTGCCTAGGTCCTTGTTGTTCTACGTACAATTTAGTGACCAACCACAACCTCACTGAGAGTGTGGGAGAAATATGGGCTCTTGAGCCCCACTCCAGACTCCTTAGATCAGCAAGCAGCCCAGTGGTTTGTGGGCACCTCTGAGAATCACTTTAGTGTCTGGCCTGCACAATAGTGGTATCTGTTTGACAGGTTTCCATAGAGCACCTCCTACATGCAGCCAGTGGTGGAGCCCTGTAGGTACCACAGTAGAGCCACTGGCATTTTGACTTTAGAGGAAAACAGGCCCAGAAATCTATGACTCAGTGACTGCCAGAGACCTTCCTACAGGAGAGACTTATGTTCTTGCATCCACATCCACCAAGGGGTGTGTGAATGTGTGTGTCTGTGTCTGTGTCTGTCTGTCTAAGGAGCCTGCTTGGACAGACTCCTGGAGAATTTTAAGCTTAAGTGATGGACTTCCCCCAACACTCTCCCTTGTCCTTTTCTGCTGACAGATCCTGACAGCCAGTGGTGATGGGACATGCGCCCTATGGGATGTGGAGAGCGGGCAGCTGCTGCAGAGCTTCCATGGGCACGGGGCTGATGTCCTCTGCTTGGATTTGGCCCCCTCAGAAACCGGAAACACCTTTGTGTCTGGGGTAAAGACCCAAGGAAAATCTTTATGGTCCTTTGTCCATTAGGGAGGCCTGTGGTGGCAGTTCTTATGCATTTATGGAACTAGACTTGCTCCTTCCATAGAAGGAGCTGCAGGAAGAGTCCTCAGCTCCCTACACCACCCCAGCTCCTACCACAATGGCAACACTGGCTCCAAGCCCCCTTCTGTTCTGCTGCTGACAGCAGTCTAAAGAAAGTTCTGGAATGTTCTCCCATGTAAATGATTCAACTCAAGATGCATATCTGCCATATAGTATTAGCACTAGAGATGAGGTACCACACAGGTGCAATGGCTACTGAGGTAGTGGCACAGAGATGTGCTCAGAGCTTCAGAGCTGTCGAAAACTCTTCCAGCCCATGTCTACTGGCCACCGACCCCTCCCGCTCCAGGGTGCAGGGACCAGAGTATTTGAGGGCTCAGAGTTGAAAGACAAGGCCACATAACACGGTGCAGCATTAGACTAGGAATCGGGCTCCCTGGCTTCTGGATTCACTACCTGATTTCAAATATTATCACCTATAAATTTATCATACTATGCAATAGAACTACCCCCTAACCTTCCTCAAAACATTACCAGCAGTGGATGGAAGAGGTTGTATTGTGCCCATAATAGGGGCAGGCATTTCTGTGGCAGCCCAGGAATAAGGTCAGAACAGAGCTGGCTGACCTGACCCCCAGTCCTGACTCACCTCACTTAGAAGACAGTGGTGAGTGAGGACAGTGACACACACAGTGTGTCCCATGATTTTTGCTTCTGAGAGACATAAGGTTTTTTTACTTCAGGCTGCTATGCCTCAGCCCTGGGAGTCATTGGCATGGACCCTGGTTTTCTTCATGGGTATTTGACCATCTGTAGGTTTTATCCCATTGTGATTATACAACTGTGTTTATCACTGTTCAACTATACAGGTTTTTTTTTAAATTATCATTATTACTGTAGATTATATTATCTTTTAGAGCACTGGACTCCATTTGATTTATTGTCCACTGAAGATGTGAAGACACTCCTGATTTTACTGTCTGCATCTCAGTGACACTCAGAGTGCTGCACCCCATCAGGTCTCCCCGAGATAGCCCCTATGCTGCTTCATTGAACCCTTTGCTCTGAGTTGAAGCTGCAACTTGGTCATCAAGTTTAAGCCATTGCTTTGGTTTGACTGTTGAGGGTCTGTGTTTTACCTGTTAAGCTTGGTAACAGGATTGCTCTGCAGGAATTTATCAAATTGTTCCCAGAATCCTGATAGCATGGTGTGAAAAGTCTCATTTTATGATCCTCTGAGTGGTGCCTTTCCAAGTGCTGAGGTGGAAGCCCAGCAGGTGCCTCTCCTAAATTGATGGCAAGTCCAAGACTAAGCTTCTGTTTGCCAATTCCCAGCCCAGCATGCTGCTGAGCTGCAGGTGGCCCAAGGGCACCTCAGACAGAGCTGGTACTTTTGCTGCTCAGCTTTAGCCCTGCTGATCTGCTCATTAGTGTCACAGCAGAGAGAGCCCACCATGCACCACCGTCTGCCTGCCTTGCCCTCTGGGCTTAAGAAGGTGGACAGAAAAAGGAAAAAGAGAAGGGGAAACGAAGGACAAGGAAATGCCCAGAAGGAGGGTGAGAAGGAGGCTCTGGAGAGTCACCTCCATTGAGAAATGTGTGAAAGAAGAAAACATGCTAAAGGGGAAAGCTGGGTGCCCCCCTGCCTTGCTCCTTCCTATTCCTAGACCTAGTTCTAACTTTCTCAGGGTTTATCGGTTGAGAAAAGTAGCTATTCTCAGAAAAAAATGTCTTGGGATTCCTTCTCTGACTATAGACAGTCCTTGCAGTGCCATAACTCTGAGTAATTTTACATTTGCAGGGATGTGACAAGAAAGCCATGGTGTGGGACATGCGCTCTGGCCAATGTGTACAGGCCTTTGAAACACACGAATCTGACATCAACAGTGTCCGGTCAGTAAGCAAAGTGTTCCTGTTACTTCTCTGTTCTGTCAGCATTACCTGGGCTTGGATTATCCCCAGCCCAGGAACCACCTTCAGGCTTCGTTTACTTGGCTGAGAGGGACTACTCAGCAAGAGAGGCTGAAGGTGATAGAAATGATCAGTGCTCCAGGTCACATGGAGAGTTTTCATTTAATTTCTTTAGGAATAATCGCTATCCTCCCTAAATTGAATTAATATTTATCATGCATCCAGCAAATATTTACTGAGTGTTAATATACTAGACATCATTTTCATAACTGAGATTGCCGGTGGTGAATAAGATAGGCATAGGCAAGGTCTTTTCTCTACTAGAGGAGATAAACTATAAATAATAAAAGTGCAGTTTAATTTGAGATATCAATAAATGATATGAAGAAAAGTAAGACAGGGAGATATGATGGGATGGGCTATTTCTTAGATAAAAAGTCAAAGCCTCTGCTAGAAGGAAACCCTGAAATCGGGGCCAGAATAATAAAAGAGCCAAGCTGTAGGTGGAAGAGTTGGGGGAAGAACACAGAAATGAGATGTCGAGGGACCTAACAAAAGGCCAGGTGAACCACTGGAGAGTTTAGGGGCGGGGTAGCTAACAGGAGCATGTTTCACCTTGAAAAGAGCACTCTATATAGATCATAGGGGAGCAAGAATGGCAGTATGATGACCACTTAGAAGGTTGTATGAATTCAAGAAAGAAATGGTGGTTGAAGCTAAGGAAGACATGATGGAGACAAAGAAATGTTAAGAATTATCAAGGGTCTGAGATTTTACCTACCTGAAAGTGAACAAGTTAGGCTGCCCTCACTCATAGATGCTGGTAGAAGATACGACTCAGAGATGAAGGACAGTTTCTATTAACAGCAGTGGCAATATCCAGAGTATCAGCATGTTTGTGTTGGTTACTTGAGCCCAAGTCACCCCAGGGTGACATACAGAGAGCCAAATAATACCTGCACGCTCACAGGATGCATTATGGGAGAACCCTGAACTTAGGGAACAAAAATCTTTTGTCAGGGGCAGTAAGTAGTGATCCATTTCCTAAGACAGGGAAGACTAGAGGAAGTGCAGGGAGGAGATTATTTTGCACATGGATCTAGGAGCTCTGTTCAGGACTAGTTCAGTCTGAGATGCCTAATAGATATCCAAGGAAGATGTCAAGTAGGTTGCAGAATCTGTGAATGGGATTCTAAGGGAGAGGTCAGGATGTGACATGTATGGAAGACACTACTGCTGAGATAGTATTTAAAGAGTCTTCATTATACTCAGAATCCCAAGAATGTTCTTTATACTTGGTGGGAAAACACTAAACTTGTTCCTCTTAAAAGCAAGAACAAAAGAATACTTATTTACTTCAGTACTCCCTACTGTCAAATGTGGGGTAAGGAAAAAGAAAGAGACTTCCTTTTTGCAAATGCGTAGTAATTACCTGGACAATCAAGGAAAATCAATCCAGAAACACTACGGAGAGCAAATGAAGTGAGTAAGATGCATGATGGAAGATAAAGCCTCAAAAATAATGATAATGAAATACAGTTTTAAAGTGCACATTCTCTCACCCATGCTGTGCCCTCTACCCTGAACCCCCTTCCTCTGATGTCCATCAGACTCTCAGGTCTCCAGGTCTCTTCAGGAAGCTGCCTAGTTCCCAGGACTGAGTTAGATGTCCTCTGGTGACAGGGGCCACATTGTACAGCCAATGTATTCATCCGTCTCCTCTGCTGAGGAAATCAGAGGGATAAATACAACCAAACATTAAGTATTTATGAATTCTTAAGATAAGAAATTTTTAAAGATATTGATAAGTAGAGAAATAGACCTCATTCTTGACAGTAAGGAAAAAATATAACCTATCAAGTGGACATTCCTTCTGTGTAGAGTGTAATCCCAGTTACACTCTATAAGTAGGTTGTAGTTACTTATTTTATAGAGTGCTATAAATTGATGCTGAGATTCATCAGGCAGATTTTATGGGGATTGATCCAGTATGCTGTGTCCAGGATGCCAGGGCAAACACAAAATACTGTCCCTCCAAAGCTAAGGTCACACTAAGTGTTGTCAACGGTCTCTTAGCATGCCCTTGGCATTTAACCATAGCAATAGTAGAGAGAGACAGTGAGGGAAAGAGACAGACACACCAAACGTCACTTTCAGATAATCCATTTTACACTTGAACCCTAAATTTCCTGCCAGCAGAAGGAAATCATAGCTCATGATGTCCCAAATGGAGTATAATCTAGATATCATTTTAATTTTAATTTGACATTGGAATATTGGTGTGTCAGACTCCATGAATCTCTAGTACTTTCAAAAATATGAGCTTCCAAAGACAACAGACTGACTGGAGCAGAGCTTCCAGTTCTCAGCACATGCCATCTAGCCTTTCTGTTCTCCATCCCCTGCTTTCAGACTGGTATAAGTTAGTCACACAAAGTCAAGCTTCCCACTCTCTCTTGCCAAATGTCTTTACTTTCAACTCCCCCAGGTAGGAGAGGTAATTCCATAAGCTGTTTTAAGAGGCCTTCTGCTCCAGCCTTTATAGAGCTGTTGGATGTAGGCCATTTGTACAAGAAAGAGGGTGCAACAGGAGGTGTGGGGACACCTCTGAGTGCTGGCAGAGTGGGGGTTGGAGACCTCTGTTCTGATTCTGCCCACAGCCCATCATCTACCCATTTTTCCTACCTATCATTGAGAAGAGTGAACATGGCAGTAATAGTTGCTTATTGAATGCTTTTTATTTGGCACCATGTGAAATTCTTTGCACGCTGGGTCTTATTCGGTCTTCCCAACAGGGAATATGTGATACTATCCTCAATTTTAGCTGAAGAAACTAAAGCTAGGCAAGATACAGCCACATGTAGTACAAGACAGCACAGACAGCTGAACATGGCTGTGTATATCTGACTCCAGTGCCTGTTCATAACCACATTTTTATCCTTGAGCTCTGAGCCCACTCTCGGGAAATAGGTATGTGATCAAGGGAAACTACATCTACAGGGCACCTGCTCTGTGTTCAGTGCCTGATACAAATACACATATTTCATTTATTCCTCATTCACATCCTGCAAGGCCAGTGTCACCGTCCCCTGCTGACAGAGAAGAAAACTAGAGGTCACTGGACCTGCCATAGAAGCCTCCCTTCAGGTCTCTTTAACGAATGTCCCTCTGTCCCTAGAGGTGGAGGTTCTGATTTTGGATGTGCAACATGGGAGGGTCTTCCTGGAACAGCCATCCCAGAGGACT